CTTCCCAGACGCCGTTTAATAGGCAGCAATCACCCCAGGAGTGGGGAAGCCAAGTACGCTTGAAACATGGTTGCAATTCCTAATAGGTCTTGTCACACTTAAGGCGCTGCAAGCTCCATCCAACGACCAGCTGAAGCTAGCTGGCGATTCATAAAGCCAACAGTTTAAAGTTTATTATGATGAAAGCCCTTAATGACAGCCATCGCTAGGGGCCCATCATTTATGAAGCTGGGTTGAGTATTAGACATGTAGCATGACCACCAATTTTATGTCACAATTGCTACCATAAAATGACCTTTGGTGATTTTTGCTGCATGTGGTGGACAGCTCTTCCTTCACATTAGTGCTCTGTGGCTTTCTTTGTAGACTATTATGCTGTCTAAAGCTTATTTGGCACTGTCGTGAGCCTCAACCCTGGTTATTACCCCGAAGGCCTGTCTTAAAAAAAAAAAAAAAAACAAAAAAACAGCAACTCATGCTCTATTACGCCACTCCAATAATTTGCAGTTCTTACCAGTCTTGGGTCGTGTAATATTTTAATGCAAATATGTTTACCATTACATTTTATTTATCTTTCAAGTTTCCCATGTGTGCTGCTTGCTAGTGAACCATTCTCTTGTAGTTCACTGAAATCAGCCTTATTCCCTGGTCAAGGCTGCTACTGACTGGGTGCTGTTTATTCGGACCAGTTAAAACAGTGCCGGAAGGAAAACAAAAGGTTAATTAAACTCGAAGGATTTTTTTAATCCCACGTGTGAAGAGCCCACCCCAAGCAAAACCACCAGTTCTTATTTCCCTGCATCCAAGCCCAATGCAAATTTACATCTGAGTAACATTATTTAATTAGGCTTCCATTTGTCACCCTGCTTTGTATAGTTAGAGAGTGTTTGAATACATGGCCACTTTACCGCTCCTATGTAAACTGCTGTTGAGAAAGTGGCCTGTCCATGCTACCTTTAAATTGTGTATATAATTTTATAAATGATATAAAATCTGCTTCTAGTCTCTGGGGGAAAAAAAAAGAGCTACAAGCATGGCACACTGCAATTTTGGAAGGATTTAAAATATGTGATTTCTGCCGGTCCCTACTGTATTGGGTTTTATATAAAGCTTTTTCAATAAGGTAAATTGTTACATGACAAACTCATCTTCCACCATTATCATCCGCTGTTTGTGTTTAACAACAGGAGTCCCGCTCTAACAAAACTGTTGTAATGGCTGCACAAATTACTCAGCTGAAAGCTTTTCACCAAACAAAACAGTATTAATCAGCAGTTCTTAGGAAGGTGCTAATTAAAAACAATTTTCTTTCTCAGTTTGCAATACTAAAACCATCTTCACTTGCACACTTTCCACTCTGCAGCTACTGTATTTGCTCACACTTCAGGCTCTCCATTAACTATTGAATCTCCTATTAGCCATTTTATTACATTTCTGTTTACAAGCTTGTTGACATTTGGAAAGTCACATTATGATCTGTTTTATCTATTAAAAAATGTATTAATTGAAAAGTCAGGGAGACAAAAAAAAAAAAAACCAGATAAATTCAGATTCCAAATGCACAGACTTCCTCAGCAGGATACACAGAAAGCCTTCAGCCACAGCCTGGGCAGCAGGCAATCTGGATAAAACGGAATCTGAGAATTCAAAGTGGCCTTTCAGGCCTGATGGTTTGTCAGACATCTGTGGGCTGGCCTCCTTACTAATTTGGAAATAGTCCACTCAGGAAAACAGGTTTTCTCTGTCTAAAGTCAGTCTGCCTTTCAAACCACCCCTTTTTCTGAGAGACATAGTCAATGTGATTATGATATTTCTGCAGTCCGAAGACAGGACAGTTAGGTCCATGGAGAAGAATGTTAGGTCCAGAACCTGGGACAGACGGCCTCGTCATCCCAGCAAGTGTGTGGTACGTATGCATGTGTTCAGTGGGACTCTGTTGACCATGTGAACATCCTGCCCCTCCCGCAAAGTTCAATGAAAGGCTTTGCCAGTATTTCCCAATTATCTGGCATTGATCAGAACCAAATCAAGTGCTGACTAAGCACAAAGTCAGAATTCTATAAAAGCTGAGTTGAAGGAAGGAGACAACCCATTCTGATCAAAACAAAAACAACAGCACCTTAGGAAAAGGTGTGCTTTACTTTGGTAGCGGGGTGGGGGGGGGGGGGGAGAAGGGAAAAAACCAGCTCCTATCTCTCACCAATTGCATTAACCAGGTTCTTCAACTGTCAGAGGCACTTAACTGGTTAGGACAGACACCTGGCTGCTGGAGCAAGCCTCCAGAAAGGTCACTAATCCTCCCTTTCACTCAGTTAACTGCTGGAGCCCCCAAACTGATTCAACAGGTATGCAGTGGTAAATTCAGCCTATACCGAAGCCAAAGGGAAAATCAGCAAGGGGCGGGCAGCTCTTCTCTGAAAACACCCGAGGAACCAGCCAGAAAAGCTTTTATGGCCCCGACAAGTTTTCTGCTGAATACTGAGCACCTAAATTACCCTTCCCTAATGGAAGTTACATTTTCATGCTCAGTCAAAAAGCCAACAAAATACACAATTTATACAAAATAGCAGCAACCTCTAAGGTAGTCTTTCTGAGCACTTTTATCCCAATTCACTGCATATGTCTTGCTGTAAAATAAAATATATTTCTCATAACCAACTTGGACGTGGCTGTTCATATCACGGCTTTACAGCTGCCCGTGGACAGCATTAGGTGCGTTCTTACACCCGTATCTGCAAAGGAAAGTCATGAGTTTTATCAGAAAATTTTTAAAAAATCTATAAAAAAGAATGTAAAATTCTTAACATTGTTTTTCAACATTTTTTATTGTAGTACGTGTGTGTTGTCACAATGTGCATGTGTATGTCAGAGGACAGCTTTTAGAAGACTTTTTTTTTCTTCCATCTGGGTCTTGGGGATTGGATTTAGGTAGTCTGGCTTGGCTGTGAGCACCTGCTGAGCCATGTCACTGGCCCAGAAGATCTTAATTCTTATGATATCCCAGAAAGGCGCTTCTTTTGGAAACAAACACATGCATAAATTATGAAGACAGTTGTAGAATGGACCACTTCTATTGCAACTATATAATCGAATGCTAATGCATAGAAAAAAAATCATAAAGTTCATGAGGAAATAGAAATGGATAAACTTTTTAGAGTTGCCTTATTTCCCTTATCAATATCTACAGTCTATTAAAATGTGAAAGTTGATTAAAAACACTTTTCACGTAGTCAATTATAGAACATCAGTTTCTTATAAACTTCCAGAGAGCCTAGCACAAGGATACTCTCAGGTAAGGATTCCATAAAGAATGTATCTATGAAATCTTGAGCATGTGAAGAAAGATCTAGAAGTTATAATCACACTGTGATAAATACATTCTTTTCCGGGTATCTTAGTAGGTAAATAGCTCAGTTTTTATACACTGTTCTCAGATATTTCTAGAAAACACACCACTAGTTTGTTTTAAACAAGTAGAAAAAAGTACAACTTCTTCCAAGGAACCGAGCCCTGCATTTGTATATCTGCTGCACACAAATGCAAATTGAATTTCTGCCAGTTTTTGTAGTTTTCTGATTGAAAAAAAAAAGAAATATTTTCACGATCCTGCTGTTCTATACTTTTAAAAAAATGGGGGGTGTTAGATCGTCATAGGTGCCACTGGAGACAGGCCCTTTGTCTGGCAGGTTTAGTGCAGGCTTTACCTAAGAAATAATGCTCCCTGAATTTTCATCAGTGTGAGTGGAATGGCTCGTGTTGCGTTTTAAAACCATCCCAAATTCTAATTTTTTAAATAAGAAAATATGAAGCCAGTGTGCAACCCATACAGTCACCAAAGGAGAGCTGCCACCAGCTGAACTACTCAGCTAAATGGTTGGTTTGCATTGCCCTGGTCTTTATCTAGCATTGAGAATAGACTGCTGTTTTATCCAAAGAGGAATAAATTGCTGTTATTGTGATGTTAGCCCATCACTTGGCATTGCAATTCAAGTTTTTGTGAGAAAGAAATGTATGATCTAACTGCAACTTGACCTGTGCCTTCCGAGATCCATCTAGGTGCTCTAATGGAGCAGAAAGAGTGGCGAATCCAGGAACATGCAAACTGACGGTAGGATTTGTGTTTGATGACAGAAATGGGTAGAGAAGACATTTGAGAGTCGCTATTTTTATAACATCTAAGTTTGCTTAACATGCAAAAAGATGAGCCTCCCAAGCCCCCCCCCCCCCCGCCCCACCTATCCCTTTAATTGTATCACACCGAATACACACTTTCCTTCTGCTAAAGAGACAGGACACACAGCTAACCCACCTAATGACATTCCTGCCAAAGTGGGCCCAGATGATTCCTTGCAGATAAATATCTGAATTTCCACAAAAGGCATTACAGCACCTCCATGGAAGCACCAAGCAGGCCAGGCTGGGGTCCCTTCAGAAAGACACCATCCTGGGTAGCGCCCACTAAATGTTTACTATACTCTCCAGGCTCAGAAACTAACAATATATACTTATTTTCAATCAGATAATTATGTGATTGAGTTTTGCTTTCCCCCCCCTTCAAACCACCCCCTCCCCCGGTTGCAATCTAGTTTATCCACCATTAATTCAAAATTTCTCTGGAAAAGACCTATTTTGAAAGAGGCCCGGAGAACAGCAGCAGTTAAGATTTAAGCCGGGATAAAGGCTCACTTTTCATTCATAGTCAAAGCCTAAATGTGCTCTTCTTGTACCTAAACAGATAATAAGCACTCCGCACACTCCCCCTCCTTGACACGGCACACTGAGACTAATCACACATAATTGGGGAGGAGGAGCAGAGGGCTGGCCACGCTATTGTGTCCAGAGGACAAACGGTCAGTTTATGAGGCTTTGGGCTGATGTAGTCATTTCTTATACATCTATAGGGGAAAACCATCCTGTTTGAAAAGAAAAAAATAATGAGAGACACACAGAGAGAGAGCAAACGATGATAGATTGAAACAATTAACTGGGACATCAGAAGAGACGGAGATAAATATTTATTTATTTATTTAACCAGAAAAGAAAGGTGATGTTTTCTGTATTTACAGATAGACTACCATTACCAAACAGAACAAAGACAATAAAAAAAAAAAATGGGGTGAGGGGGTGGGAGATGGGAATCATCAAAAGAAATTCTGCTTTAGAGAGAAAAATATTTAGACTGCTCACAAGATCTCAGACAGGCTGCTGACACAGAAAAACACTCAGAGGTTGGGGGTGAAAAGCAACAAGCTGAGCGCAGGCAGGGAAGGTGAGAGAGCTGGGGAGGTCCACCCAAGAGTGTGCCCTGGTGGGTGGAGTATCAGAACCGAGATGTGGAATGTGGAAGGGTGGGTGCGGTCCTGGGTCTCAGGGGACCCGTGGTAGATTTCTCTTCTCGTGAAAATCATTTCCCAGGGCATCTGATTTTTTTTTCCTTCTGTTTTCTATGCCATTTTGGTTAAAATAAGCAGAAGGGGGTAATGGAGGTTTTCTTCATATAAGTCCGAGTTTTCTTTTTTCAACTGAAAGTAATAGAAACAGAACGTAAAAAGAGTCAAGTGAGGAATTTTTATAAATTGATATTAATATTAGTTTTAACCTAAATACATAATTCTGGAAAAAATTAATCATATAAGAGCAACTCAACAGAGTTGTTGGTAGTACTGACATGATGATGACATTAAAACAGGAATCTGAGGGTTTGTTTTGTTTTAGGCAAGGATTAAGTGGTGTTTTTAAAAGTACCATGCCTGAGGGAAAGCTGGGGTACCTTCATCTTTCCCAGAATAGCGTCGGGCATGTCTCTCCGTCAGCCTGGTTCTTCCTGCCCTAATCAGTGCTGCACGGAGCACTCAAGGCAGGCAGGAATGTTGGATGAGTTGAGACCATGGCAACATCCGGACATTTCGAAGGCTGTCTAGGTTCTCCTTGGGGGTGAGAGTTGCAGTGAGGAACTCCAGACACCACCCCCACTCCCAGGAACATATTCCAACAGAACACCAGTGCTTGATGGTGCTAAGATGGCTTTCTGAGGACCTTCTGTGATATGATTTTAAATTCCAACCAATCTTCATAGCTAAGCACACATTCTGGAAGATGTCAGGGAGTAGACTTTATCCTCCTCATTTGGCCACAATGAATCTGACAGTCACATTTGTATTTGTTCAAGCAAATAGTAGTTTCTTTCTTTCTCTTTCTCCTGTATTTATTTATTTATTTATTTATTTATTTATTTATTTATTTATTTATTTATCACTTGTTTGTTTGTTTTTGTTTTTTGAGACAGGGGTTCCCTGTGGAGCCCTGGTTGTCCTGGTTGTCACTCTGTAGATCATGCTGGCCTTGACTCAGAGATTCACCTGCCTCTGTCTCCTGAGTCCTGGGATCAAAGGTGTGTGTTATGTCACACATCTGGCTAGTCTGTTACACAATAGATTATGGACTGGTATTTCTGAGCCAATTGTTATTTTATTTTTTAATTTCTGAAGATCAGTCTTTCTTTTCACTCTACTGGAAAGCAATTCTTTTCCTGCCTCAATGAGTCACCACTACCTACTTACTCTAGAACATCTCATGAATGGTTCCACTATTGTATCTGCTGGATTGGCCAGCAGTTAGGGATGTGTTCACTTGCATCTCTCTTCTAAGTCCTATTCCAAAATGGTCACAAGTCTTCACCACTAAGAACAAGAGTCTACCTTCTCCGCGGGGACCTAAAGTCAATTTCACCTCCTCTTTAAGCTGCTTTCCTAAGAACAGGGGTGGCGTGGCTACTGATATGGCTCACAAATACTAGCTGTCTACTTGGAATGGAGCTTGAAGAATCCGTTATCCCCAAAGTATCAACAGGGTCCCTCACTCTCTGGACTGGACATCACCATCATTATCAGAGTTCGTGAAACTGAATTCACTGACTGCCCTGTCCATGCCCGCTCACTGTACACACCTTAGCCGTGCATTGCCCTAGCAACAGAAACAGCGCATGGAAATATTTCATGGAGCGGAGAGGGGGCCATGATATCTAAGTCTTTCCTCGGGGACTGGGGATAAGGGAAATCTGAGAACTCTGAGCAAGTGAGCTGACCCGCTCACTGACAAGGTTCTAATACACACAGCCTCAAATGATCTCTTTACAAAATCCCTGAGGTAACATGTGGGATAAATAATTCTTCTGCAAATATGGTCTAAGAATCACTTTTAACTTGAATTCTGTGCTGACCTCTGGAGGCCAAAGCAGAGGTTTGGCTGCAGGAAGGGGCCAGGGGTCAGCCTGGTCCTTCCTCTGAGCCTTTCTGAAAATTGAGGGTATGGGGGGGACTCTCCACCTCACAAACAGTTCTGTGATACCCACCTAGTTATCTCGGGGCCAAGTAAATCTGTTACAGGAGAGTCCTTGAACACACACAAAGCTGTTAGGAAATACTGGCTTGGATGGGGGCAGTGTTACAAGGCTTAAGAAAAATTCCTTTTACCTAAGCTGCACTTCCTTGCTCAATTAAT